TTTTCACTTGATTTCTCACAGACAAAGAAATCATGAGACTTTCGCGTACACGCTTATGAACCCAAAACCCTTTACATCAAGACATACAAGACATGGAATTAAATACGAGCCCGAAGCAGTTCATGCGTATATGAATGAGAGATCAATCCCGGTTGAAGTTTTCAAAAGCGGTCTGGTTGTGTACAAAAACGAACCAGTACTGGCTTGCTCACCTGACGGAAAAGTTCTTGATGCAGGTTGCAGCAAGCCATTTGGCTTTCTAGAAGTTAAATGTCCAGAAACGAAGTTTCTAGTAACTCCTTTGGATGCTTGTTCAGATGCCAGTTTTTGTTGTGAGAACATTGATGGGAATTGTAAATTGAAAGTAACACATCCCTATTATGCACAACTCCAAGGGCAAATGGGGATAACTGGTGCTGAATGGTGCGATTTTGTGATTTTTACCAAAAAGGGAATATCAATCGAGAGAGTCCTCTTTGACCCACTGTACTGGCAAGAGCTTGAGAGAAAACTCCTTTACTATTATTATGAACATTTCGTTAAGTTGCCATAGTTGAGGCCTTATACACTACTTACAGCATTCCTTCCATGTCAGTTTTTTTTGCCTGATTATGTATTCCCTGTATAGGGTTAATTGACTTTCGGATTTCAAGTGCCAAGTGTAGGTGAGTCAGACATGGTTAACGTTTAAAAGAACTAAGAGCAGCACCTACATGTAAACAAAATAAAAGCAGGTTAATTTCAATCTGTTACACCCTGGCAGCAAGTCCCATTTAAATTTCAATGTCAAATGTAACTCACATGTGCACTCACAAAACAAAAGCAATATATCAAGTCAGTAAACTTTCCAGATCTCACATTATCTATTACAGTACTCTTAAATAAGTCAATTATTATGAGGCCTCTTGCACTCTTTTTGTTTTTGGCAATTCAGTTTCCATAGGTAGGTATGGTATTGGTACGTATTACTCAGTTATAATGGGGTCCTGGACATTGCACAAAAAGGTGCAGACTGCCCACATTTGATTAATCACAGGAAATAAAGATAGAGGGGTTACTCTGTCCCAAATGTGGAAATTTTTGATCTTATTAATAGCTCTCTCCACATGGATTTGTAATGCTGCAATTACTTGTGTTTTAACCACATCCTCTGGCAACATCTGAGGTGCTTGGCCAAGAAATGGAGGTATATTTAATGTAACACCCAGAGGAAGCAAGTCCTCGATTGTAAAACCTTTGTCTGCCATTATATCATCACCCTTGCTGAAGGGTAAGTCCAGGATACCATTTCTTTCTACAATTTCCCGGTCTGAAATGCCGCTGGTATACAGCTGGCTTGTAAATGTTATTGCTCCTGAAGGGGCAATCCCAATAAGCCCTTTGAGTGTAGTGTGGTTCTAGTAGGAACTAAATAATCTGCTGTTAAGAAGCAGGCTGCTTGGCATTTTACATTTTATTTCTGTACAGTCTAGGATGACACGCAACTTTGGATATTTAACTTTGAAATCTTCAGGCATAGTTTTGTTAATTTCCTCCCGGCTAGGCCAAATGTTTATATTGCCAAAACGAAAAAACATAAAGTTAATCCAGGAAACAAAAATTCTGCTAACTGTCGGCTGAGAAATGCCAAATAAAAATGCTAAATGTTTCTCGTTAAATCCCTGTCTCAATCGACACAACACCAGAAAAAACGCTTCCTCTGGCTGAAGAGTTCTTCTTCGCCCAGGTTTGTTACAATCCCTTTGTTTACTTTTCCTTTCGTCGTCTACCTTCACATCAATTGAACGCCAGTATCGAATATTTTCACCATTTTCTCCTGGATTCAGATATGAAAGCGTTGCTTTGAACGTCTCTAAGTTTGGGAAACCAGTGTAAAATGAAATAGAATCGTTGTCTGACAGATTGTGTATGCAAAACGTACGTGATTTTAGGTCATTGTTTTCCTGCGATAGACGCTTGAGTTCCTTTTCTGAATTCACCAGTTCAGCTTCAGTTTTAGCTAAGCGTGATTTCAAATTTGATAAATCTTCATTTAAACAAGCAATCTCTTTCTGGGCATGTAGCAGCTGCATTTTCAATGATTCGAGTGACTCTTCTTGAATTTCATGGTGAGAAGTTTCGAGGTTGTTTGAAATCATATCATCCTCTGAAAGACTGCTGCTGTCTACTGTGCTCGTGCTAGCTACCGGTACACTGTGTAGGTCTTCAACTGCACATCCATTCTCGTTGCATGTAGATAGATCCTCCATTTGCTTCCTTTTTTCAGGTATTTGACTTCTGTCTAATGGCGGATGTCTTTTCCGTGGAGAAGTACGCCACGCAAACCTTGAAGGAATTGTGCCCTTCACCAATTCCATTTTTTGGCCGGAAATGCCTGTTTTTATTTCTTCTTCACGAAAATGTAACGAGCAGATCTTGGTATCTTTCGTTAATGAAAAGTTAGGGCCAACATCTCTTCGGATTTTCTGTAGCCATTGCTTGCGAATGTTTGGATCCTTCGGAAAAGTAAAAAATCCCACTCTGTTTCCTCGCGGATCTACGCGGCCCCTTTGGTTGCAAAGGGGAACACAACAGTAAACTTTAGAACTTGACGACATCCTAAGAAACCTGTTACAGTAAAAAAAGTCAGCCGAAACGTTGTAAAAAGAAGAAATCACCGCTCTGTAAGTTGACTAAAACTGTGCTATCAGTGAGAAATTTGTGTTTGTTATCCTCCAACGCCTCGTTTTCATGATTAGGTACCAGTTTTTTCCCGCGCGTCCGCGATTTGTGAATACGGTGTATATTGAGCAAGATAATATTTTTTAAGTGCCTTTTTGAACAGGATTCTCGATTATTTATTGCGAATAGAAAGGGGGAGATCGTTCCAATAGTGTTTTCCAATGAGGGTAGAGCAAAACTTTCGAATATTAATTCTTGAGTGGGGAATGTGTAATTGTTGAGCAGATGCACTTTGTGTGAAATAATTTTGTTGCTCAGATACGAGAAATAATGGAGAATTGCACGGCTTATTATCAGAGACATAATCATACAAAAACAAACAATTGTGTAAACCTATAATGAGGAGTGATGTGATCTTGTAAGGGAACGTCAATCATTATTCTAACTGCGTTATTTTGTAGACGTATGAGCTGTGATAATGGATTATCATAATTATTTCCCCACAGTAAGCAAGCATATATGAGATATGGGTAAGCAAGAGAATAGTAAATACTAGTTAAACACTGATTTCCTAGGTAACTTTTTATCTTTGTCATAATATTAATACTCTTAGTGACTTTATCACAAACATAGTCGATATGGTCAGGCCACGATAGGTGGCTGTCAATATAAATACCCAAGTATTTAATTTTGGATACTTGCTCTAAGCATTGGCCAGCTATTGATAGTGGAGGTAATAAATTATAATATACTTTCTGACGAGGTTGAAAGATAAGATATTTAGTTTTTCTTAGATTTAAGGTTAATCTAATTGCACATAGCCAGTCATAGATATTTGGTAGTTCTTTATTTATCTTTAATAAGAGTTCATCTATATTTTTAGCTGAAGCTGTTAAAGAGGGATCGTCTGCAAATAGTCGCATGGAGAAGATATCAGAAGATTCAGAAAAATCGTTTATATATATCAAAAATAACAACGGTCCTAAAATTGATCCTTTAGGTACACCAGAAGAAATTGCCATGGTGTCAGAAATGTTACCATTTACAAAAACTCTTTGCTTTCTTTTATTAAGATACAATTTGAAGCAGTCGATATGAGGATTTTGAATGCCATAGAACGATAGCTTTGATAATAAAATCGAATGATTAATGGAATCCAATGCTTTACTCAAATCTAAAAATATTGATACAGCATAATCTCCTTGACCTAGAGAGGTAGAGATTTCTTCAATGAGATCAACAAGACAGTCCACAGTGGTACTGCCTGTCTTAAACCCAAATCGAGTAGGAGGGATGATATTTTCAGACGAAAAATAAGATATAAGTTGATTATAAATACATTTTTCAAAAACCCTACTTAATACTGGAAGAACTGATATTGGTCTATAATTATCACACAGTGAACGGGATGCCTGTTTAAAGATAGGAATCACTTTAGCGATTTTTAGATTTTCAGGAAAAGTCCTTCGCTTGATGGACAGATTAATTATATACGTTATAGGACGAAAAATCTGAAATGCTCCAACAGAGGCCAAAAAAGGGTGAAGTTTATCTACACCAAACGACTTTTTACTATCAAGATTATCAAGAATTAGAAAAACTTCTATTTCGTGCATTAATGTAAAACGAAATTTAGATCCAGTCGATTTTAAAAAAGAGCCAAAATGACGATTTGATTCAGGCAGTTTAGAGGCAAGTCGACTAGGTATGTTGCGAAAATATTTATTTATAACATTAGAAATAGAATTTGGTTGTAAATATTGTTTGTCATCAATTTGGAGTTTGTCATTATGAGAAGAAGGGCGCCTTTTGTTAATAATGAAGTTTATAATACAAGGTGTGGTAATATTTATTTATGGAAACTATTTTATTACGATAAAACTTGTATTTGTTCAAAAACAGTATATTTCGTGTTGTTAACCATGTTTTGTACAGTTTGTCACGCACCGTCATTGACTTTTTCAAACCTGGAGTTATCCATGGTTTGGAAGAACAATTTTTGACCTTAGTTGATTTCAACAGGGCATGTTGATTATTTATCCGATTGAAAATGTGAAGGAATCTAGCTAAACACTTATTGACATCGCTAGTAGGGAAAACTGGAGACCAATCTACCTGACTTAATACACGACTTTCATAATGGCGGACCGCTCGGGCGGAGTGGGAACGAATCACATCAGAGCGAGGCAAGTAAGGCCACAGTAACCAAAACAATCCAAAACAAATCGAAGCGACGCGACGCGACGCAAAGCAATCTTACGGATTTATCTACAGCTGGCATCTAGCATGAAATATGTCGTAGAGCGTATCGTTTCTAGAAGAACGAGATATTACTGGAGCGTCACTTTGCGGTCGAAGACCGTCTGAATTAAAGAACAAAGAACTTAAATTTTGGTTGAAATGCAGAGGTGATCCAGGCAAAGACCTCACAACCAAAGCTGAACTTGTAAAGGGGTAAGACAGGGATCGCTTTGTAATCTTACTTACATTCTACCAGTCACTTGTAAGATTTGTTCAAAAATATTGTGGATCCCGATCCAACTGGTCTGTACACCAAGTGAAAACAGCAACGCATTGGAGTCAGAGCTACATCGAGTATTACGGAGTCCTCACATGGTGATGCTAGTAACAAATCGTCTGTCAAGTATCTCACTGATAGATAGAGTACGTCTCTTGAAAAGATGCCTATGTTCACCAGGGCAGAAATGAATAAGCACATAGCCAGATTGGGAAAAAGTATTTCCAATATTCAACATCATTCTGTGCCAATGTCCTTAAGAAAAGTGAAGACATTCCTCAAAGATGAATATCTAAGGGAAATAACTGCTGCGAGTGATGACCACTGTTTTTATTTTCAAGCCAAATGCTGCCATAGCTTTAGAAAGAACGATCCCCCACATCAATTAAAACTGGCGTTGTGTATTTTCAAGGGAGACGTTTTAGACAGCAGCTGTAATGTGTGTCGCAGGAAAGGCTGGATTTTGCAACCATATTTCAGCCTTGATGTTCAAAATTTGCAAGTATACCCTCTTTGAAGCGAAGACTACCAAGGATCTATGTCAAGAAAAGGACGAGAATCCAGAGTTGGCGTGTACATCTCATCTTCAAAGATGGCAAAAAAAGGCGGCGAAAACATAGTTCCCCAGCCAGTTATGGAGGTTTATGTTACCAAAACGAAGCTTGATGAGCCCAGCAGTTCAAGAGGATCAGGTGGTGTGAAATGTCTTCTTTATGAAGCCCGAAAAGCAGCCACATTATGACCCCAAGAATGAGGCATATTTTAAGACAGAACTTGCTACAATTGACCCAAACATGGGTTTTGCTCATTTGAGTAAAAGTAACAACTCAAGTGGTGAAACAGCACAGACAAAATATAGAGAAACTCCTGTTGGCTCTTTTCTAAGTTACCAGGTGTGATTCACAGAGTCTAACTTTTCAGCAGAAGCAGATTTAAATGCAGTACTCCGAAATGTGCTTTCTGACAGCATAACGGCACATCCAAGGTTTCCTTTAGCCAATGAAAATCCTATGGTTACCCCTCGAGAACTGAGTAGTGAGGAAGCAGCTTTGTTATCACATTTATCTGTGGATGAAGACAAGGTGAACACAATTGAAGCTACCTCAAGGGAACAATCAGAGTCTGAAATCTGGAAAAAGGAACGCACTTATCGATTCACTGCGTCAAGTTTTCAGCTGATCGCCAAGCGGCAACGAAATCATGAGAGCTTTGCTCAATCGATTATGCATCCAAAGCCCTTTACTTCAAAGTATGTTGCTCATGGAATGAAGTATGAACCTGTTGCTCTCAGAGAGTATGAAAAATTCATGTTCAACAGGAAAACACCTGTTGCTGTACTTAAAAGTGGATTTGTTGTATCCGAAGCATTTCCTGTTCTTGGCGCATCACCCGAAGCCAAAGTTATTGACTTTGGATGCTCTATTTGTTTTGGTTTAGCTGAGGTGAAATGTCCTCATACCAAGTTCCATGTGACCCCCCTTGAGGACCCAAATTTCTTCATGGAGAAGATAAGTGACACACAATGTAGACTTAAAAGGGACCATGCCTACTATGGCCAGGTCCAGGGACAGATGGGTGTGACAGGTGCAAAATGGTGCGATTTTATTGTGTACGCTAGCAAAGGGATTTACATTGAACGAATCGCATTTGATCCTGTCTACTGGGGTAACCTTAAGAATGAACTCCTGCGGTATTATTTTGAACATTTCTTAAAATTTGCATCAGCAGATTTTCACAACTCTGCTTAAAGTACTTTAAGTAAAGTTTTTATTACTTTACTTATACTCTTTTTTCTAAGTTCATGGGCTAATTTTAATATTATTTAATCCTTTGAGCCCTAATATTAAATAACTAGTGTTAAATTTGTCCTTAAAATTTTGTTGCTTTATTGAAGAAATCAATTATTATTACCAAAAATATAAGAAGGAGGTAGTGAAGAATTTCAAATTTGATATTGGGGCTGAAAGGGTTAACTAATCTGTGCCCTGGTTGATGCAATAGGAGAACCAATTTATCAAAGTTCCATTGTGGCTTAATGTTCAAGTGGTTGTAGACATTTTTGCTAAATGTTAATAATTCATAATTTTAAAGGAATGCTGGTAGTCTCATTATTGTAAAACACCGTGCATTATTCTACCAGTTTTTACTGTGGGAACATTATAATCTGAAGACCAGAAGCAGTGTTATTTGTTCTTTAATATCCTTTATTGGTCTATTCTTTCCAACAAGTTTATTAAATATGGAAAGTAAATGTGAATTTTCTAAGGTGAGCATTAATGGTTACACCATTGTCCAAAATTAAAGAGTAGCATGACAGAAATACCAAAATGTAAATTTGTCAATACACAAAACAGTTTAAATAGAAATGATATTGGATTGGGCATTGCATAAAATTGCACAAACTGCCCACATTTGATTTACAACACCAAACTGGTGGAGAGGTACAACCCTGTCCCAAATGTGAAAATTTTTTATTTTGTTAATTGCTCGCTCAACATGTATGCGTAGACTGGCAATTTCTTGAGTGCGCACTACATCAGTTGCTGGCATTTGTGCAGAGCTTCCGAGGAAGGGTGGGATGTTTAGTGATACTCCCAAAGGGAGCAAATCCTGTATCGTAAATCCCTTGTCAGCCATGATAGAATCTTTTTCCTGGAATGGCAAATCTAACAATCCACTTCTTACTACTATTTCCCTATCAGAAATACTCCCAGTATACAATTGGCTAATAAAAGTAATTGCTCCACCAGGGGAAATGCCAATCAACCCTTTCAGGGTTGTGTGGTGTTTATAGTTGCTAAATAATTCCCCATTTAAGTGGAGACTACTGGGCATTTGACATCTGACCTCAGTACAATCTATGATAACTCTCGTGGAACTGTATTTGTGTTTAAAATCTTCTGGCATGGTCTCATTTACCTCCCCACGTGTGGGCCAAATGTTTAGTTGACCAAGTTTCAAATACATAAAATTAATCCACGTTATAAAAATCCGACTGATTGTCGATAGTGAAACTTGAAAAAGATGTGCCAAATGTTCTTCAGCAAACCCTTGCCTCAGTCTGCACATGACTGCAAAAGCCTCGTCAATTGGTCTCAACGATCTTGATCTTCCTCTTTTTCTGAATAGTTCTTCATTTTCACCCTCATACACTGCTGCTGATACATTCAAATTTAGCTTTGAGACCCAGTAAGATATATTTTGCCCTTCATTTCCTGGATTTAAGTATTTGAAAACAGCATCAAATGTATCCCAGTTTGGAAAACCAGTATAAAACTTGATAGAGGAGTCATCACCTCTAAACCTATCGACTGTAAACATCTGCTTTTGAAGAGACTCAATGCGCTGATTTGCCTTCTCAAGTTTAGATTTTAGGTCAATCAATTGCTGATTCATTTCTGTTTCGCTGTTATCCGTGGACTCAATTTCATTTGTTTGCGTCGTCACATCCTGTTTGGTGATAGCATCAGTATCACTCGTTCCTCTTTGTTCATTGCATGTAGCGTTTTCTGTTTCTACCGTTTCTTCTACCGCTTCAATTTCGGAAAGGAGAACTCGGCTTGTTGCGGCAATTTGTTCGCGATCGGTGGGAGCTTTCCGCTTGCGGAGAGGTTCGAGTCCAAGGAAACAGCGATGGAACGGCATTCGGTCGCAGATCTCTCCTACCGCTGAGCTTCTTGATAAAATCATACTCTCTAAAATGCCTTGAGCAAACTTTAGTCCAACCCTGTATCTGAAAATACAGTCCCTGATCTCTTCTAATAGCGTGAAGCCATTTTTTCCGTCGAAGCGGATCATCTGGAAACTTGAAGTGAGAAACTTTTCTCCCATTTTCGTCCAGATAACCTTTCTTTGTACATTCAGGAACGCAGCAGCTCGTAGGCATTTTTCTTCCGATCAGCGATTGTTTAGCGATAAATTTCCCTTAGAGATAGTGAAGGTTTACCGAATTTCTACTTTTTTACGCCAAAGAAACTAAAACAACTCGACAAGCCAAATAAATTTGGAAGACATTTGCATGTTTTTCCACACGACCGCTTTCGGATATAAATATCGTGGCCTTACTTGCCTCGCTCTGATGTGGTTCGTTACCACTCCGCCCGAGCGGTCCGCCATTATGAAAGTCGTGTATGTTGTCTTGAATAGCCCACTGTCAAATCTCTTAAGTCTCTATAGAATAGAGTGGTTGAGTTATCTGTTTAACCAGAGGTTTGTAGTGAAGATCTTTGAGCATTGCTGTCCTGTGTTTGGTGTGTCCGGTGTTTGATTTGTGTGACATATTTCTCCTTTTTAACTGGTAATAAGGGTGGTGAAAGCATGGAAATTCAGTGGCTGAGTGACCAGTTTAACGGTAGGTTCATAATGAAGATCTTTGAGCATAATTGTGTCCAGTGTTTGATTAATTAGACATAGTTGTCCTTTTTAAGTGGTAATAGTAGTGGTGAAAGCATGGGGACTTCAGTGGCTGAGTTACCAGTTTAACCAGAGGCTCGTAGTGAAGGTTTGTCAGCAGTGCTCTCTCTTGTTTAATTATTTCCTGTTTCTGTTTCAGTAATTGGTAATGCTTATTGCATAATTATTACAACCGATATGAAAATAACTAGATAACTCAATGAAATAAATATTAGATATATTACATTACAACATACACTGTCACGACATACAAATTTGTGGGCTGCAAATAACGACTATAAAGTGTGATCAAATAAATATGGTGAAATTAATCAACTAATTGAATTATTTAAATTAGGCAGACAAGCTCTTGTGCCACGCACTATCCCCTGCACTAGAGGATGCTGGGCTTGTAGCATGAACTATCTCCTGAAGAAGGCTGCTTTTGACCATAGTGGTGGAAAGGAACTCCCCACCCCTGAACCACCCGGCTAAAGAGCACCCACATCTCTAACCCTTTATGGCTTGAGGCACCCAATCCTAGCGTTCATAGACTAGTTCCTTTTCGACCCTTCGAACGCGCCTCTTCTACAACCTAACATTGCGAAGCAGAATTTTCCAGATTCTCTCTTTATTCAATCCTGGCCCCCTCAATTTCTCTTCGGGAACGGGGAAATAGTGGTACAGTAATGGAGACCAGACAGTATTTGAAAGTGGAACAACTGGTTTAATAAGACATTGTTAGAATGACAATGTTTCCTTAGTGTGGAAGTATATAAATGGCGATACATGACTTGTATAAACTGTAACGAAACGGTGACTATTATCAGGGGAAATTATGTAGCCTAACTGGAGAAGGTCACTGGTGCGGCAACAGAAACGCAACGGGGAACATAGCACAAATGAATTGGCTTGTGTGTAACGGTTCTAAAAGTACTGTTCAATGCGGTTAATTAACGATGCAAGTTTCTAAACGCAACGAGGATGCTTAACTAGGATGACAGTGTTCACTTGGACTTCCGGGCCACCTTGTTCAAGTCTGCGTAGAGTTTGTCCTGCTCTTGGACAAGGTCTTCTAAGGCGTTGCGTGGTTTCTTGTTCTTGTTCTTGTTCTTTTTCTTTTGTGGCTGAACGTTAGTTTCGGCCGGCTTGGGATTAGCAGGCTGTTCTTTGGTTTTGGTTCTTTCAGCTGTGGTGTTCTGTTTGCTCGTTGAAGGCTGCGTAGGTTTGCTGGTTTTGGCTGCCGTGGGCTTGTTCCTGTGGCCCCTATAGAAGGGGCTTTCAGGGGGGGTTCTGGGGGTAATCCCCAGCTGGTCGTCGTCCAGATCTGAGTCATCTGACACTACTGTGGCCGGCCTCTTGCGATTCTTTTGCTGTGGTGGTTTGGGGTCTGGAGTTTTTGGGCGAATGGGCTGCTGGTCTTCCTCATCGGAATCGGATGATGTGCTGTCCTCAACGTGTCTGGTTGGTCTGTTTTTGGCTGTGGGTGGGCCTCGTAGAGGTCTCTTATTCTTCGCCGGAGGCGTTTGGTCTTCTTCCTCCTCTTCGTCGTCAAAGGTGGTCGGCAGTTTGGCTGCTGCCCTGCGTCTGTCAGTTGTGCGCGCACGTCTTTCTGGCACTGCGCTTGTGTATGATTGGGTAGGCTGGTCTTCTTCGTCCTGCTCTCTCAGAGGGCTCAACGAGGGACGTGTTCTGCTGTGCTGGGGTAGACGTTTGCCCCTCGCGGTCTCTGGAGACTGTGGGGGCTTTGCAAAATTCGGGAGACTGGACAGACGCGTCCTGGGTGTAGTGGAGGCCCCCGACGTTCCGGCAGTAGCATCGTCGTCCTCCTGAGTGTCTAGGCGTCGGCGTCTAGCCTGTTCGTTCTGCTTCGCTGGGCTGTCTGTTCCCGCACTATAGAGGGACCTGTCCCATAAGTTGTCCGTACTGCGCTGCACGGTTCTGCGTTTCTGTAAGATGGAGTCAATCAGATACTGATTGACGTTTTGTTTGCTTGGGTTGGTGCGCAGCACATCTGTTGCCGCGTTTTTCACGGACTGCTCCGCTAGTGCGTCCGGATTATGTAACAGGCAGTTGAATGCGATGACGTGTATGGCCATCATCATCACCGGCCCGCAGGCGTTGAAAGCTTCCATAAAGAGGTCTTCTGTTTTTTCGTCCTTATGCACCGCTTCAATCACGTCAAGGATGTCATCCGTGTCGGGTGGGTCATGGCAGTATCTGTCTTTATTGTCCAGTCTTCTAAGGGCTGGCATGATCGGTTCACAGAACCGTTCCAGTTGGTTTACAAACGAGTTTGTAAAGACCGTGCCTTTAAACCGGGAGATCTGCTCCCAGTTGTCTTTTAGTGTTGCCGCCATTTCGGACATTGCGATGTTTGGCCTGCTGAGCCACTCGCAATTCCAGTGTTTCAGGCGCGCCAAGATCTTCTCGTCGGGAAGGTCCTGGAGGGCCTCACCATAGTTGAGGAGGAAGCTGCGAGGGAAGTGCTTGTTGTAGTTTGGTTTCGGAGTACTTCCCGATGACCTAGAGTCCTGAGACATATCTGCAAAGGAAAACGACATTAGTTGGTAAAACGTACATGTCATGCTTAACTGTCAGGCGGGTTGGTCATCGGCGATGCTCTGAGGAAGGGTTGAGTGGTGTTAGAAGTTGACAGTGCGTTTGGCTTCACCCACATGTGGAAGGATTGAAATGCTGGAGGTGATGGGTTACTGGGGACTCTCACCGCGACGAGGTAGCACTGTTTGAGAGCCGAAATGGAGAATGAGGAAAGAAAGGCATAGGAGTAACGGCGTGGCTTCAGAAGAAGCTCCCTTACGGCACTCCCCAAGGGTTGGTTACCTCAGCTCGTGTTCTCCGACGCAGGATATTGTTCGCATTACCGTGAAGAGAAGATAGTGTCGTCAAGAGAATCTAGTGGTATGCAATGGAAAAACGGCGATATTTTAAAGTTGAACAGGGGTTAGTTTGTGTGTGCGGATTGGTTGCAGCAAGGAAATGCTGGATCTTGCTCGCACACGGGAAAGGCCAACGTACCCTGTTCCAGGAGGGACAGTGTCGCAGTCCAGCCAAATGATGAGGTGACGTATGTTTCTTCCTTGTGACTTTGTGATTGTTTGTGCGTATGCCGGTGAGAATGGATATCGTGTGGTGTGTGTGTCGTTGTCCAGGTGCGTGACTGGGTAGACAAATACGCACTGTCCCTCAGGAAGAGAAAGAATGATCGTGTTATTCTCACAGCCAAGAATAGTGGCTTGTTGGCCGTTGACAATGCGGGCCGCTTTGTCTCTATTCTTGGTGAAGATCACTTCCATGTGTTTTGGAAAAGTACGTGGAGAAAAGGATAATTTAAAAATATCACTCTGCCCAGAGAGGTGATTAAATTTAATGTGTGAGCATCTAGTGCAGGAATTACAAAGGTATATGTACTTCGAGAGGCCTCTATCATCAGGATTCTGAGACGCCTTAAACAAAAAGTTGATGCTCGTGATGCTGAGAGAGTAATGGCCTATCCAGGGCACTCAACATGCAAGAGATGCTTGATTCGCAGGTATAGTCACTGAAGACGAAGCAGGCAGCTCTCTGCTGAACTTTTTCCATGCCAGAAATGTTGCGCTGGGTATAAGGATCCCAAGCACAGCAAGCCTACTGAAGGGTCAGATGTACAAGGATGAGATATAGTTCAGCCTTAGTCTCACGCATACATTGCTTTGTCCCTGCAAAGAAGTTAATAAGCGTAGTAGCAATCAACAAAAATTGAAATTAAAAAACAACAACAACAAAAAAGCAAAACAAAACAAATGCCATTGTGCTAAAAAGGAGAAAAAAGAAGATAGAATTAATGTAAGTACACTCTTAATTTTATAACAGTCTTTTTTTTTAATAAAAGTTTTGAGGCGGAAGTTGGGGACATTTTTAAAATGTTTGATTGGTATGGCATTTTTGTCCTTTTTAAGTGGTAATGGTAGTGGTTACCAGTTTAAGCAGAGGTTCATGATGTATATGTTAGAGCATTGCTGTGTCCCGTGTTTGATTAGTATGACACATTTGTCCTTTTAATGTGGTAATAGTAATGGTGAGAGCATGGAAATACAGTGGCCGAGTGACCAGTTTAACCAGAGGTTCGTAGGGAAGATTTTTGAGCATTGCTGTGTCCGTTGTTTGATTAGTATGGCATATTTGTCCTTTTAAAGTGGTAATAGTAGTAGTAATAAAAGAATTTGGACTTCAGTGGCTGAGTTACTAGTTTAACCAGAGGTTCTTAATTAAGATCTTTGGGCGTTGCTACATCCCGTAGTTGATTTGCGTGACATATTTCTCCTTTTTAAGAGATAATAAGTTTGGTGAAAGTATGGAAATTCAGTGGCTGAGTTACCAGTTTAACCGTAGGTTCATAATGAAGATCTTTGAGCATGATTTTGTCCTGTGTTTGATTAGTTTGACATAGTTGTCCTTAGTTGTGGTGAAAGCAGGGGGACTTCAGTGGCTGAGTTACCAGTTTAACCAGAGGCTCGTAGTGAAGGTTTTTCAGCAGCGCTCTCTCTTGTGTAATTATTTCCTGTTTCTGTTTCAGTAATCGGTAATGCTTATTGCATAACTTATTACAACCGGTATGAAAAAAACTAAATAACTTAATAAAATAAATGTTAGATACATTACATTACAACATACACTGTCTCGACATACAAATTTGTAGGCTGCAAATAACGACTGTAAAGTGTGATCAAATAAATGGAGTGAAATTTATCAACTAATTAAATTATTCACCTCAGTGGCTGAGTAACTAGTTTAACCAGAGGTTCTTAATTGAGATCTTTGAGCATTACTGCATCCCATATTTGATTTGCATGTCATATTTCTTCTTTTTAAGTGGTAATAAGTGTGGTGAAAGCATGGAAATTCAGTGGCTGAGTGACCAGTTTAATCGGAGGTTCATATTGAAGATCATTGAGCATTACTGTGTCCCGTGTTTGATTAGTTTGACATAGTTGTCCTTTTTAAGTGGTAATAGTAGTAGTGAAAGCATGGGGACTTCAGTGGCTGAGTTACCAGTTTAACCAGAGGCTCGTAGTGAAGGTTTGTCAGCAAAAGCAACAAAATGCATGAGAAGGGAGGATGTTGTTGTAAGTTTGTTCAGTGTTATCACAGCTAACGATCTGTGTTATGGTAGTGTTTTTACATTGTGATGTCAATAAGTGTGATCTGTATAGGGTTTTTATTTGTTTTTAAGTTTGAGTGAAAAAGCAAAAATCACTGACAGTTTTGGGTTGAATGGTAATGAGAAAGTTTGCAAAGAACTTTGTTACAGAATTATCACAATTTCACATTTTCTAAAGTACGTTATCGTCAGGTTTATCGTTGAGATTTATTAATCACATTTATCTAATTTTTGCGAAAACATTGTGAATTTGAAATGATAACAGACATAAGACATTTTTGAAATAGATCTTTGTGGTCATGGATTGTTGATAATAAGTTTAGTGAAAGCATGGAAATTCAGTGGCTGAGTTACCAGTTTAACCGTAGGTTCATAATGAAGATCTTTGAGCATTATTGTGTCCTGTGTTTGATTAGTTTGACATAGTTGTCCTTAGTTGTGGTGAAAGCAGGGGGACTTCAGTGGCTGAGTTACCAGTTTAACCAGAGGCTCGTAGTGAAGGTTTGTCAGCAACGCTCTCTCTTGTTTAATTATTTCCTGTTTCTGTTTCAGTAATTGGTAATGCTTATTGCATAAATTATTACAACCGGCATTAAAATAACTAAATAACTTAATAAAATAAATATTAGATACTTTACATTACAACATACACTGTCTCGACATACAAATTTGTAGGCTGCAAATAACGACTATAAAGTGTGATCAAATAAATATAGTGAAATTTATCAACTAATAAAATTATTTAAATTAGGCAGACAAGCTCTTGCGCCATGCACTAACCCCCGCGCTAAAGGATGCTGGGCTTGTAGCATGAACTATCTCCTGAGGAAGGCTGTCCCATATTGGAATAGTACGTGCAGAAAAGGATAATTTAAAAATATCACTTTGCCCAGAGAGGTGATTAAATTTAATGTGTGGGCATCTAGTGCAGGAATGAGAAAGGGATATATACTTCGAGAGGCCTGTATCATCAGGATTCTGAGATGCCTTAAACAAAAAGTTGACACTCGTGATGCTGAGAGAGTAATGGCCAATCCAGGGCACTCAACATGCAAGAGATGCTTGATTCGCAGGAATAGTCACAGAAGACGAAGCAGGCAGCTCTCCGCTGATCTTTTTCCATGCTAGAAATGTTGTGCTGGGTATAAGGATCCCAAGCACAGCAAGCATACTCAAGGGTCAGATGTACAAGGGTGAGATATTGTCTCAACACACAGCGATAACAGTTGCAAGAGATAAAATTGAGAATGTTAATGCTCTTATTTACAACATAGTTATTAGTATGACATATTTGTCCTTGTTAAGTGGTAATAGTAGCGGTGAAAACATGGGGACTACAGTGGTTGAGTTACCTGTTTAACCGGAGGTTGGTAGTGAAGATCTTTGAGCGTTGCTGTCCTGTGTTTTATTTGTATGACATATTTTTCCTTTTTAAGTGGTAACAGTAGTGTTGAAAGCATGGAAATACAGTGGCCGAGGTACTAGTTTAACCAGAGGTTCGTAGTGAAGATTTTTGAGCATTGCTGCATCCAGTGTTTGATTAGTATGGCATATGTGTCCTTCTTAAGTGGTAATAGTAGTAAAGAAAGCATTTGGACTTCAGTGGCTGAGTTACTAGTTTAACCAGAGGCTCATAGTACAGGTCTTTTAGCATCAGTTTAGCTTGTTTCGCTTATGGCCCTATGCAAGCTCTTCGTTTTGGCAACAACATAAAGTGTACAACCAGTGTTCTCCATAGATTTGGAAGTAGTCAGCCAAATTTTTAAAGTAGGCAGTGGGTGTACTGCGAGTGCCTGGAGGGTATGAGCCTCTAGGGGGGTCCAGGGGCATGCCCCCCCGGAAAATTTTTCACAAAAGGGGGTCCGGAGATGGTCTTTAAGGCATTTTGGGCACACTGCAGCGGGAGAAAATGTGTACATTTTTCTGTCCGTTTTTGTGTATATTTTGAAGTCTATAATGACAATTACAGTGATAACAAGATATTTATTTGTCTCCCAATACTAGCATTAGCACTACTCCTCATGGCTTGCAGACCTCTTTTTCGCCGCTCCGGATTTCTGTTTATTCTTATCGCTCTTTGGCCTTTGACATTCTTTAAGCATGGATATGATGGTTACCATAAAGCTTCTTTGGTCAACAGCTGTGCATTTGGTAACGGTATCACTGAGAATAAAGCAAGTAACTTTGCTTCTTGTCCGTGGAACCACAATGGTCTAATTATCCGTACTGCACGTGGGAAAGGTTACTTCTCAGCGAGAATCAACTACCACTCTTGTTGTGTCTCAGGCTTCCATTTAATTCGCTTATTTATCAGTGAAGATGTATGTTTAAACCCTGGTCCTGATAAATGTGAAAATTGTGGCCAAGCTACTACGAGAAACCATGGCTGTTTATCTGCACCTTGTAGAATTTCATCTATCTACAGCATGGCTGGACATAATAAACCTCATCCAAGGAGTGTTACTGCACTTGCACCCCTTTCCACAACTGCATTAGACATGGGCTGGGTGAGGCAAATCTGAGCAGCATCCAGAATTTGTGGGAAGTTGATTCTGTGAGCCACCTGCTCTTTAACAACTTTTCTTAGAATGAACTCAGTTGGAGAACGGTGATCTTTCCCCCTGAGAACAGCAGAGGGTACCTTACATGATGACATCAGGTACTTGAAGTTGTACCACTGTGCAAGTGTGTGATCTTTGTGAAACTGGAACTACTTGCACAGCACTTTTACTTCATCTACACCATACTTCTTGAAGGCTGGGTCCTCTGGCTTTGGGAGGCAGCTTGGATCAAAGATGGAAAATGCTTCAAGAACGGGTGCTGCCTCTTGAAATCTCCTATCTAGGTTCCTCTCGAGGGCAGTTGTGTAGTTAACTACAAGATTTTTCAAGAGTGCTTCTACCTGGCCATCATCTTTGAGTTCCAGTTCCAAAGAAGCATAGTCCCCACCTGGCTGAATGGTTGTTTGCAACTCAAGAACAAGGTTAAAGGAGGACCGGATTTCAGAAAGTCTGGATTTGGTGCTTTCAAGTGCAGGTCTGATGGAGGTGTAGCATGTGTGATCTTTTTGGAACACCTTGCTAAGGGTGTTGAGATGAGGTAGAACTGCGTTCAGTATAAGCATCGTGCCAACAAACTTGGTGTTATTCATTCTCTTTAGAAGACCTTAAGCTGTAGCATCAGCTTCCTTAAACTGCCTCAATGTCTGCATCAGGGTAAGAAGGTTTGGGCAGATGCTTGAAACACTTTGGCCAGTTGAAAGCCACCTTGTCCTGCAAGCTTTCGGTATTTCACTGCCAGAGACTTGAACAGCTTTTTCTGTTTTGTGGGGTCATCATTAGCATAGGCCAGCTTTATTTTCTGAAGTGACACACAGACCTTCACAAATGCTGAACAGCGTTTTGAGTACTCCAGCCACTTCCACAACTGACGAAGGGTAACTTCGATGGTCTGGATATACTTCACGGCCATTAGCATCACTGCATGCTAAGGCAAGCCTGTGGTTAATGCAGTGACTGCGTACCATGATGCTACACACTTTCAGAAGTCTGGCACCAACACCATTATTTTTGCCAGTCAGGACACTAGCACCATCTGAGCCAAAACCACAAACTAAAGCAAGGTTTAGATCACACGCTTTCAGCCCCTCAGTGATGATCCTTGTTAGAGTCTAGAAATCTGCTGATTCTGATGTCTCAAGAACATCTTTTACTTCAAGAAAATCAAAATGTGTCTTCCCTTCCTCATCAACATAACCAATATAGATCAACATCTGCTCTAGTGTAGCACAATCCGTCACCTCGTTAACTAAAGATACTAAACCACTTGGCATCCTTGACCCTTTGAATTGGTTTCTCCTTGATAAGCTGACCAAGGAGGAGGCGCATCTCTCGCTGACTTCGTTCACTTGTATTTCCATTTCCATGACACCGACGTGCTTTTCTAACTCAATCAGAGAGAGAATTTTCTTGTTGGCTACTTCTTCTTTTCCAAGCCAATAAGAGCTCAGGAATGCGTTGTAGGTCACTTTATCAGCCACTTCGTGAGCCACTTTTTACTTGTTAGCCAAGGAAGAATTCCTTCTCTCCAACTCACAGATTACTGTTGATGTATGTCCACTGCCTCTTGCATGGTCACTAACAGCGCTGTGCTTGTAGTTGGTGAATGGTGCTAAGTTGAATGTGTTCTGTTTGTTGTACTTGTTTTTGGTGTTATAACGACAGCACAGAAGGCAGAACATCCCTTCCCCTTCACAGTATACCAACCGTAATTTGCCTTAAAGTAAAACCAAAACAGAGGCATTGTGGTCATTGTAAAAAGCAAAACTGAACTTATTATAGCAAACATCATTATAATATACCGTATTTTTCATTTATATTTACCTGTTCTGTCACCGAGCCATGAGTGTTGGAACATATCAACTCCCTTCCTTTTCCCTTCTCTTGTTTTTTTTCTGGCTTTTAATTCTAGCCCTTTCAGCTTCAGATACGTCTGAGTATTTTCCACAACAGGTGTAAAAGCTATATAAGTGCTTCTTTTCCATGGGATCTGAAAAATACCCTACTAACAGAGCAATTGCCCCTGGAGTTGGTAACATGTCCGGCATTGGAGGTGTGCTTGCTTCAAGGGAAGTTGAACTTTGTACTCCGCCAGCGCTACAGGAACTTTGTATGCATTGCTGTGCAGAGTTAGTTCCATTCTCAAGAGAGAGTTGCTGAGTACTTGATGAACTTAAAATGGTATGATTTGGAGTGAGGAAAAACAGATGACATAAATTTTTATTTACTGTATTTAAAAAAAAAAAATTGTTTCAAAATTGCAAGCTGTCAAATCGAAGTTTTTTATTCTCCTTCTTTAATTTGACTTGATCAATTTGAATCCTTTCGTCAGGCTCAAAAACCAAAACTAAATGCGAGGAGACTAGGCCCGACTTTCATCATGGCTGCCATTTCTTGGTGTTGTGTGTTTGCTCTTAACCACGACAAAGAATAAAATGTAAACTCGTGAATATCTACCTTCGTTTTTATAGAATGTTGTGTTTCTGAATCTATAAGAGTTGTCACGTGCTTGGAAACCACCTCTGGATGAAATTATCTCGAACAAACCTACAAGTTTATCATTGTGCGATCGAAAAGCTGAGCGGACGGCACTTGGAAATGTATGCAGACTTGAACGTGCTTTGAATAAACTTACCGATTCCTGTTCGTTCCTTGGGGATAAGGAAACTCGTTATTTTTCCTCTCTTTCCATCTTTTTGATTTTCCACAGATGTTTGCTTTGACATCTCCTAAAGACTTGATGTAAATTTTCTTGTGATAATCGTAATCCCGGGATCATAATGTAGAATTGTTCGTATCCACGTGCTCTTTGAGAAGACGAACTCGTACGCTGGAAATTATGAAATATTTCGACAGAATTAGGGCAAAAGTTGACGTTTTAATTGACAGATTCCTTCCAATGCACTTTAAAACAATTATTTTCGGTATGTATGTCAGCCTTCTAGTAAATAAAATAAGATTACAGTTGTTATCTTTCTGAAGCGCACTAGATTACGCTATTCTTTATCATTTCCTTTGGAAATAACATGAACACGTACTGTTGATGGCACTTGAGATTTTAAGCCAAAGTCACACAATGTGCGAAATTATTTTACAGAAACTAAAGCATAATTTTCTGCGCTTTTGTCTAACAGAAGTAGCCAGGGCTTGATACATGAGTAGCTGGTGAAAACGCCAGCTGCCGGCGCTTCTGGAGAACACTGGTACAACCTCTGAAAGACGCCTCGGAGTACAAGTTGATAACAAGGTGTCCTGGTCAGATCATGCTGCAAATGTAGCGAAGTCGTTCGCATCCAAGTAATTTCTACTTTGACGCAGGTAATTCCTCCCTCAGAAGCAATTAGAAGATTTCTACACAAAAGTCATGATACTGCTGTCAGTTACATACGGTCTGACAGTGTGGGGATCGTGCAACAAGACGCACCTAAACAATCTGGAGAAACTCCATGCAAGGGCTGGATGGATTGTACATGGGTTGCCATGGGACACTAGCGCTGAAGATGTCTTAATGCGAACTGGATGGGACTGTTCGGAAACAATGTATGTACAACGTGTGATTAATGGAGTTTGTCTTCAAGTGTTTAAAAGGTTACACCACGGAATTTAACGATTTGTTTTTCAGGCCACAGAAGAAGTGAGAACATCATTCTTCCAAGACCAGAAACGAATTTTATCAGATACTCCATACGCTTTAGAGGAGCAGTTGCATGGAACATTTTAACAAACAAGGAAACAAGGGCTAAAACCTTTAAAAAATTTAAATGTTGTCTTGCAAAATTTGATACTGACCAAATGAATTTCGAACTTATTTTAGGTAGAACTAAAAACAGAGGTATTGGTTACGAATACTTTTAACAGTTTAAATTTTCAATTGTACATTTGCACAACCTATTTTTTCTACAACTAAAAAGTGAAATATTGGTTACAAACATTTTTAACAGTTATTAATTTTTAATAGACCTTGTCACGGTTTTCGACGCGATCTTGACGAGTAGGCAAACACGTGAGAAATCAGTGTTTGTATGAGAATCTAATGTCGGATAATTTCTGTAAAACGGCTGCTCTGAAAAAAATATCAATTGTTAACTAAAGCTACAATGCACAGATTGTCCTAAAAAATTTGGGGGGCGTACCTGTCCTTAAATTTTTCCAGAGGCTTGCTTTAGATTTTCCATATATTTGTCTGTAATTTTCCCGGAACTTTCTTACAGACAAATGTATAGAAAATGTTACAAAGTGGTTCTAGGTCTTCAAGTGCATGTAACGCCCTCAAATTTTTTCAGGAGAATCCTTAGGAGTGAAGCTTTAGTTTACAAGTCATATTTTTTCAGAACAGCCGTTCTACAGAAATTATTCGATATCAGATTCTCATACAATCACTGTAATTTCTCACGCGTTTGCCTACTTGTGAAGATGGCGTCAAAAACCTTGACAAGGTCTATTGTACATTTGCTTTGAGTACTCCTTATTTTTCTTGTAGTTGTTTTGTGCACGACCCCACCAGCAATGCTCATCTTATCTATCTTATGTGTAGAATAGTATGTTTTTGCTGTTTATCCTGGCAGGGGTTATGGCTGTGGTGGTTGACCAATTCTACAAAAGGCTACCCGTAGGAAACATATTACCTATAAGCAGTTCTGCTTTAGCGACTCACAAAGGCTGCACAAAATCTTGCAGTTAGAACACGGAGAATCCTGACTGATAATTTTGATGTCAAGGTCAACATCTTGAGAAACAGAACTTTGAGAAGTCTGATCCTGTAAATGGTTAGGCTCATCAATAATCGCTAAGCTATGGCTCAAAAATGATCCAACAGTAGAGGATGGTATGCTCGCCTGGAGTGAGTGCTTAGGACTATGCAGAGAAGTTAGGTTCTCAGCAAAAGAGGAATTGCCAAGAAGATCGAGCATGGACATATTTTCACTATTGAAACGTTGAGGGGTGAAAGAGCTGTACTTCAAACCAACCGATGTCAGTGGGGTTAGAGATGGAGGTATTGAAGAAGGCAGTGATGTCAAGTTAGGCTGAATTACGGTCTTCTGTGCCAAAATTTTTCAACCAGCGGTTGGAACATTTGTACGTGGAGACAGTGGAAGAAGCAGTGAAATATTTCAATTTTCCTCTGCATCTGAAAATGCTGATGACACATTGGGTAAGCAGCAATCACTGTTGGCGTTAAAAAACCTGATGAGCAGCTGCACTTGCAGCAT